TTTGAGAAAAGAAAGAGAAAAAGATGGATTGAGTTGATAAACACGTGTCACTTCCAAAAATACATTCAGCGAAGTTAATTGGTGAGGCGAAATCGAGAATGTAAATGAGTTAGTTGTGCTTTTTTGGCAATGTATTGAACAATATGAGTTGTGACTCAAAGAATAGGCCTTCTGGATTGCTGCTTTGAGCCCCGGGCCCAAGAACAGTGCAACTAAAAAGTTGTTAACGTTGAGCGTCTTGATAAGTGTGTTTCCTTTTTTTAGCATTAAGCTTGTACAAAATGAGCTTTAAATCTAGTAATCTACTGGCCTCCATAAAGCTTGAAAAGCCTTTAGTACCGTAAATTGTTTAAGTCTCACTCACAAGGAAATGAGCAGAGATTAGTGGAAAAAAATGTCCGATAGAATGATTATTTACGGTACTAAAGGCTTTTCAAGCTTTATGGAGGCCAGTAGTTCAATGGAGGCCAGTAGATTACTAGATTTAGAGCTCATTTTGTACAAGCTTAATGCTAAAAAAGGAAACACACTTATCAAGACGCTCAACGGTAACAACTTTTTAGTTGCACTGTTCTTGGGCCCGGGGCTCAAAGCAGCAATCTAGAAGGTCCATTCTATGAGTTACAATTCATATTGTTCAATACAATGCCAAAAAAAGCACAACTAACTCATTTACATTCTCGATCGAATATAGTGTGGCTGTGAAAGTTTTTATACCCAATCTCCCAAAATCTCAGTTTCAACAGCCTATCTTTAAGATTTATCTTCGTTATTCACAGATTCTGCAAGACATTGAGCTCTTTATAAAAGCCTAACTTGTTATTTGATTATATATTAAAGACTAAACTGTGTAAGATGAAGAACAGATTGAAAGATAAAGAACAGCTTCTAGTGATATTGCATTGCTGATGATGCATTGCTAATGGAAAAGTCTCACTTTCAATATTGATCCCTTCTTTGAACAAGAAAAATCATTAATGCAAACCGGATATTTGAAAAAAAGCCTCATCTGTCACCAGTTGTTTTGGGGATTTTAGGTCTTTTGTTTTGCCCTCAGGTATCCCACAGTTGAAAGGGAAAACACTTGAGAGGATTTCTCAAGACTTGAGAAAAGAAAAGGGATTATCCCCCATTTTGTGCCCAGCCAAATGAGCCTAAAAGCCGAAAATTAGCATAGATTAAGCTCATATTGGCCATATTGACCTGGACCGACAAAGCACTTGAATGAATTTTGTGAGTTTCAAAAAATAGACAATCACGAGGCACATCTCGTTGCCCTAATTGTCGTTCATTTAAGTTTGCAAGTGTACAAAAATAAAAACTAGTATCGAATTGCATTTAAATCATTTAAATCGTTAATCATTATCATTTAAATCATTTATTAGTTCAAATTTCTTATTTTTATTCACACAAAATTCATTAGTTTTCAATATAAATATCTACATTTATTATAATATAATATTATATTATATTATAAATATCTACATGTATTAATATTATACAGAGTGGCTGAAAATTATGTGCGCGCAGCATCTGGCATAGTTTTAAACAATAATTGTTAGGTGACTTTGACGATAACAATGACGTGAGCAACAAAAATTGTTAGATAATTAATTTTGAAAGACTTGAAACTGAGTTAAAGTTTGATAATTACAGTTTACTTTTAAAAATAAACCCAATCCGGAAGCCGATTTACAAATACAGTTTGAAACTTCAAAATTTCACTCAAACCTGTGAAACAAACGATTCACGAGGTGGTCTAAAGAAGGCAAATGGATCAGTAAGGAATAAGGCTCTACGTTAGCGGCAATGAATGAATACGTGTTGATTTAGTTCATTGGTAGAGCGTGTGCCCAGTAAGCGAGAGGTCGCGAGTTTAAATCTCGGCCATGTTTTGTTTTGTATTCTCTGCCCCAATCCATGAAAGGGTATGTTCAAAATTAGAGAGATTGACAATTCCAATTCGATACTAACGTCATTAGTACTTTGAAATCCTGGATTTTAATCGAGATTACTGTGTAACGGAAAGAGTAGATACTCTTTCCGTTACACAGTAATTGTGTACATTTTTGTCAACAGATTGTAATAAAGAAGTATAAAGAGGGCAAATGGATCAGTAAGGAATAAGGCTCTACGTTAGCGACAATGAATGAATACGTGTTGCTTTAGTTCATTGGTAGAGCGTGTGCCCAGTAAGCGAGAGGTCGTGGGTTTAAATCTCGGCCATCTTTTGTTTTGTATTCTCTGTCCCAATCCAATCCCAACCCAAAGGATATGTTCAAACTGATCAAAATTAGAGAAGATTGACAATTCTAATCCAATACTAAAGTCATTAGTATTTTAGAATCATTAGATTGGTTCATTAGATTGGAAGATCGGCTTCCAATCATTAGATTGGAAGCCGATCTACTCGTTCCGTTGCACAGTAATTGTGTACATTTTTGTCAACAGATTGTTGTCAATAACAAATAGTAAGTAAAACAAGCATCATTTCTGTGTAAAGAACAAGCTGAATTTTAAAGTTTCAAAGTTCTTTAAGTCCAACAATTATTTAGGAAGTTTGACGCTGGAGTTTTTTCTTCAAAAACTCCAAAAAGACATTTCCCAATTGCTCAGCATGACAAATCGATGTAATCCGAAAATTGTCCCCATTCCGACAAAAAAAAAGACACTTATGCAAACAAAAACATTTCCTTTTGCGGTTTGCGGAAAATTGCCACCTTTGTACAGTAATTTCCTATGGAAAACGCTTTTGATCAAACCGATTAAACGCTTTTCTGTCGTAATTTTCTTTAGAAAGTCTTCAAGAAAACTGTATTGAAAGGTTTATAAGTTATAAAATTATTGATTTAGTGTTTTCTGTACATGTACAAATGATTACAAAACATAGTACTAGTACCGATGTTTTTTACTTTTTATCTCAATGAGCTATTAGTTATTAGGTCTCAAATCTTACAGTCAAATCGGGTGGCTGCAAAAAGATAAGTTTCAACTTTGACGATTTCCAAGAGAATTACTTACTCATAATAACCATCACTGAAACAAATCTTCAAGACAGAAACACTTTTTTTTTCCGTTTTTCTTCCAAATCAATCAATATACCGTATTTTCTCTAATAGTAGTGCACCCCCGGTGAGCCAAGTTGCTGATTATTTTACAGTTTCCAAGCTTTTGCAAAAGCTCAACACTCAAATCCCCTACTAGATCTCATTGTCAGCTACATTTTCCGACCCCACATCGATTGGTTCTGATAAGCGGTTCTCAAGATTTCGAGGAATTTAGACGACGATCAGGGTGCACTACCATTAGAGAATACAGTAATCGAGGAGCTTTTTTAAAATTTGTACACTTGGTTATAATATTGAAAGAAATTTGCTTTTTCTGTGTCATTTTTTTTTCTATGATTCAATTAGTCGTCGACATACGGTAGAGTGTCAAATGGCGGAGAGAAGGCGAAGAAATTTGAGAGAAAAGTCGAGCGGTGAATAAATGAGAGCAAAAAGGCAGATGGATGGGTGAAAAGGCGGAGGAAAGGAGAGGAAATATGGGTATGATAAAGATATGAAAAGATAGCTAAACTTGTCAGGAAACTAATTAGGATGTCCGCGATCGATTGCACGCTGAAACTTCACAATGAATCGTTTATTCAAGTCTAATTGGAGGCAGGATTTCTATCAAAAATCTAGCCAAATTTGGGGGAGAATTGAGCCCAAGAATTTGGGCATAAGAAAGAGAGGAAAATCAGAAAGGCGAGAAAGCTCACTAGGGAACGGTCAGATTTCATCAATCCGAATCAAATCAATATGGTTTCGCCAGTCAACGGGCAACACGATGGCGTTTTTTGTTTTTGCTTAAAGGCTCTAGATTTTTGCATTTGATTTTAATGTAGTGGACGGTATATAGCGGCCGCCATCATCAAGGGAATCAGTTGAATCCGTGGTGCAGTGGTAGTGTTGCTGTTTCTGGCACCCCGGGGTCTCCCCTTATGGCGCCAGGGTTCGACTCCCGTAACGACTTATGAATTTTTTCTATTTTCTTTTAAAACTTTTCTTTTTAAAACGTTGACTCAAAACAACACGAAAACATAACATCGATTTTAGCCAAAAGAGAATACCTATCTATCGGCAGAGTGCGCTAGATGGTGAGCGATTGTGTGTACATACAAAGGACACCTCGCTATTTAGATAGGACCTTCTCTTTCACATTGTAGTTGGCTCCAAAAGAAGATATTCAGCTGGAAATTTGTGGGTTTGTGCTAGAGTTTTCGTACTATCAGGACTATCAGTACTGATAGCTTTTTTAGTACTATCAGCAAGGTTTCGGATCAAACTAATGATTTGATTGAAGAATTTGCTTTCATTTTAAAAATTAAAGATTCAGTAGCATTTTTCATAATACGATTTCAGTTTTTCCTCAGAAGTATCCCCCAAAGCCACGCCTTTCGCTTATTTTTGTGTGAGATCCCTAATTTGGATGAGGCAAAAAAGGGGGAAAAAGAGAGGGATTCGAAAGAGACAGATTGCCGTTGGACAGGTCACATCAAACACCTCAAATTCGATATTAAAGTGACTTTTTTGTTTCCATTTTTATTCTGCTTTAAAGCTTTAAATATTGTTAAAGCGACAGTACTCTTATTCCGTAAAAGTGTTCAGCCAACTAGACTGAATATTCTTTGGTTCTATTGAAGTCTGAATTACTAAGCGTATTCCGCCTTTGATAACTGGATACCTTTTATTTTTTGATTACTGTAGCCAATCTAAAAGTGAAACTAAGTAGCTAGTAGCCTGAGAATTTGGCTTTAAATGAACTGCTCACATTTTACAAGATTACAACTTTCAATTCTTGAAAATCAATCTTCTTTAGAATCAAATGAAGCCGATTTTTTTTCTCTAGCCTATACAATTTCTGCTCCATAAAACACTTAACAATATGATTATTTTTGCTTAAATACTTTCAATTTCCAGTTTATAATCTTCTAATCTACCTCACCTTCAGCACAAATGGACAGCCTTCACGCACTCGTGCAACAGCATATTGACATCAAACCGAGTACCCAAATTCAGATTCCCTACAACAGAGATCAAGTCAGTTGCTTTTATTGGTTTAAAACAGAATACTCACTTCAAAGCCGTTTCTTTGTGAAGGGATTGGAAAGTAGATACCGTAAATACTGTAATAGTACCCCACCCCCTCGTACAGTCGCGTAGTCGCAAAAGAAAAGTTTTTTAGTATTTCATTTTTTCAAAGCGCCCGTACTTTCAAAAAATGCATCTTTGGTATCAAAAAATAGCTGAAATTCAGGGCTATTTTTTGATACCAAAGCGCGCATTGTAGCATAAACCAGTGTCGAGAAAAACTCATCCAAAGACGGATCCAAAAAATGGATTGTAAATGGATCTATGTTTCACGTTTAAAATCTAGAGCATACCCGAAACAGTAATGTTGAAGTCTATAAAGTCTCAAACACTGTAACTCGAGTAGTCGCAAACTCTGGTCACCTCGAGGTCATGTTTGAGCATGAGCAAAATGTTTGAGCATTTGATAGCTTAAACCAGTAACTATCTACCGTAAATACTGTAATAGTACCCCAGCCTCCATAATGACGGTGCGGAGTGTTGCGTAGTTTAGCTTTGAACTAGTTTTTCTCGACACTGGTTTATGCTACAATGCGCGCTTAGGTATCAAAAAATAGCCCTGAATTTCAGCTATTTTTTGATACCAAAGACGCACTTTTTGAAAGTACGGGCGCTTTGAAAAAAATGAAATACTAAAAACTACTTTTGCGACTACGCGACTGTACGAGGGGGGTGGGGTACTATTACAGTATTTACGGTATGTACTTTGTGCTAGACCTGCTTAACGAGTCCGGGCAAAATTTTCAGACAATCTGCCTAGCTCTTCGATTTTTTTTTACTGCTCAAAGCTCCTTCGAACATGAAACCCAGTTCCTTCGCAAGCCCTTATTTTAGAATTCATTTTGATACTAAACATGACTAGGTTCTATTTTGCTATTTTGATCAAACTTTCGCCGGACTCAATAAGCAAAGAAATTTTCCTCGAGCTCGTTAAGCAGTTTTACTTTGTGCTTTCAAAAAGCTTTCGGTCTCAAAAGCTTATTCAAACAAGTAACCCATTCTCGAATCACAAACACTTACATTTTCCACTCAGTTTTTCCCTCTTTTTCTGACAAAACATCTACTAAGGAAACAGAATTCGTGCACCAGAAAGAGTGAGTTTACACCGTATACAAAGTATACCACCAAAAATAGAGAATATGTAGTTGAAGTTCTCAAAATTTCTTAAATTTCCTAAGTTCTCAAAATCTGGAAAGCATTAAAGTTCATTGCTTAGTCTTTTAAAATTGGGTTGGTGAATTGAAAACTGCGGGCTATTGTCATATGTGACAGTTTGAGCACTTTCTTCAAAAGAAACCCATTTTGGTGTCAATGGAAAAGTTGTAGAGAATCAAAAATCAAGCTTATATCCAAATTTTCAGAACGATTCAAAAAATGGTTTTCAAGAAATGCCAAATTCACGAATTTTCACAAAACTTGCATTTTAAGCGAAACTACTAAGTGTATCTTTTTGGAAATTTGGCTATAAGCTTAATTTTTGATTCTCTACAACTTTTCTATTGACACCAAAATGGGTTTCTTTTGAAGAAAGTGCTCAAATGCTCAAACTGGGACATCTCCAGTCCTCGATTTTTGAGTCTCACACTTGTCTCACACACAAACCAAAATCCTACGAAAGAGGAATCCGCAAATTGCCTGTAAAATGGGCAGAAGTTGTCAATAATAATGGAAATTATTTGGAATGAATTCATGGTTTCATGTTGAATAAATTTTAGTTCAAAGTCCGGCAGTTTTCAATTGGCCAACCCAATAGAATAAGTTGAAACAGGCAACCGATCGCTAAAATGATTAGTCGTTCCTCAATCTAATGTTGATAACAAATTTTCCAGTTAGACTGCATTTGTTCGAGTCTTTTTCAAGCACGAGATGGCGCTCAATTGGTCGCTTTTTTCACGCAATTCGGTGAAGAGCAATTGTTGAGGCCCGAGTGGAGAACCGAAGCTGTTCGATTGGGTGTGTTTCAAAAGAACTCAATGCAGATAAAATTTTCAATTGCTAGTTTTGCTATTTCTGAATCTAGATAACATTTTTCATTGTTATTTCTACATTTTCACTTTCTAATTTGTAAATTAACAACTTCAGAACTTAAACCAAAACAAAAAAGGCACATTGTTGATGGCTTTAAACCCGTTTTTACAGATTTACGGAATACCTAAATCAGCCAAAAGCTAGAACTAACCTAGCTTTCAAGCACAGTTTACCTGATCAAGTTTAATCAGTAAAATTGATTGACTTTTTAGGGTACATCATGGCCCTCTATCACGCTGGACAGTATGAGCGGCTATTTTCAGGTGAACTTTTGATTCCTTCGAAAAACACAGAATACAGATTATTCTAAAAAAAAAAATAAATCTATTAGATTTTCTACAAAATAACCAAAATTTTTCACTCAAAATTCGTTTTACAAATGCTAAACCAAATGAATTAGGGTTTGAATTAATCAATTAATAAAACCATTGAAATATCTATATTTCCTCTGCAAAATCGTTAGGTTAGACAAATAGGTTGCAAAATAGATTAGAATGAATGATAGAAAATCGAAAATAAGTTTGAAACAATGATACACTGATTGTATTAGCTTTTGATTAGGTTCAAGTATATTGAAATGGTGTTTCAAAGTGTATTTCTATTATTATTGACGACTTCTGCCCATTTTACAGGCAATTTGCGGATTCCTCTTTCGTAGTAGGATTTTGGTTTGTTTGTGAGACAAGTATGAGACTCAAAAATCGAGGACTGGACATGTCCCAGTTTGAGCATTTCAGCACTTTCTTCAAAAGAAGCCCATTTTGGTGTCAATAGAAAAGTTGTAGAGAATCAAAAATGAGGCTTATAGCCAAATTTCCAAAAAGATACACTTAGTAGTTTCGCTTAAAATGCAGGTTTTGTGAAAATTCGTAAATTTGGCATTTCTTGAAAACCAGTTCTTGAATCATTCTGAAAATTTGGATTTAAGCTTGATTTTTGATTCTCTACAACTTTTCCATTGACACCAAAATGGGTTTCTTTTGAAGAAAGTCCTCAAACTGTCACATATGGCAAAAAAAAAAAAGCTAATTCACAAATAGTGAGATGTGTACTCAAACTTTCTAAAACATTATACTCTTAGTTTTTTTTTTTGAAAAACCTATTTTATATTAAGTTTCTTAGCTTTTATATACTCTTTGAAAGATTTTTAATTGAAAGAAATTGAAAAGAAACTTTCAGTAATCACAAACAGCTCATTCAGCGAGCGAAACTATAAGGATTTGCAAGATTTATGGTATCGATCGCATTACAAAGAGGTCGGTCTCAATTTTAATCTTTTAAATTGTAATGAAAAGTTTATCTCTGCTTGTGAAGTAGTTTAATATCTAGTCTCTTTTTTAGAATGAATCAAAACGACAAAAAGAGCTGGGCGCTGTGGAGAAATATCGATTGAGAAGGTTTAAATTTAAATTTAATTTCCAGAGTTTAATCAAGAGTGGCTTGGGACTCTTATTTAGTATCAAATTTAACTATTTAAACTATTAAATGCTTATTAAACTATTAAATTACAAGCGAAACTATTAAATTACAAGCGAAACTATTAAATTAAAAGCGAAACTATTAAAGGCAAATGACTAAATATTATGAACTAGTTTTTGAATCTGGTTCGGGAACTTGTGAATGAATCCTCTTTGAATTTTCTGAACTTTCAACCGATTAAGTCCGTATTCTAATTGGTAAATTCAATAAAATGAATAGTGCCAATCGATTCACGACCCTGAAAACCCTTGGGTACAAATTTCCAGTTAAATATCTTCTTTTAAAGTCATCTACAGTGCAAAAGAAAAATCTCCTATGTAAATTTGTTCTTTGTGCGCTCGCGTAATCGCTCACCATCTGGCACACGCTCCTGATAGATAGGTGTTTCCTTTTGGTAATTCGTGAAGCGGAAGGAGCGTTGAGAAACTGCGCCGGCTTTACTGTTTTGGACGTCACTATGTCCAAATTCCTGGGAACAATTCCTGCGTCAAACTTGGCTATATTTTTGTACAAATTCTGCATTTTGTTGTGTCAGTTATCTTTGGATAAAGTTATGCCTAGAACTTCGAAAGACTAACCATTCATTTGAAAGTATCCCTTTAACGGATCAGCGCCAAAAAACTTGATAATATTTAATAGTTGACATTTTTTTTTCTCGATTCAAAAATGTATAGATTGTATTTTGTAAACAGCTTTACTATAACTCTTTCGAAGAAAAGCAAAAGCTGAATAAAGTAGCAAAAACTAGCTAAACTGGTATACTGATCATTTATTTGATCAAAGTTTACCAAATTGAACACGATATTTCAACCTATTCGACACAGAGATTTTGTAATCACTTTATCAATCAGCTATATTCAAAAAAACTTTAGAAAACACCCACCCCCACGATCGATTTGGGATGGCCAGGAAACCGTCTACAGCTTCAAAGAAAACAGCAGAAAAGTCGGTTTCAAAAATTTCTTGAAAAATATTTAACATTACAAAAGAAAAAAAAAAAAAAACTTTTTTCCCCTTTTGTCATTGGCAATCCAACTTTGAGCACAAATTTCTTGGTGTTGGGTTGTTCAATTTATAAATTATTGGTATTATTAGATTCGCCAAGTCTTTTTCTATCGATTGGTACAAAAACGATTTAAATTGGACAGCCCAACACCAAGATAATAATAGATATCTATATCGACTAAAAAAAGCGCTTCATATTATGTTGTCCCATAAAAAATTGCGGTTTTTCAGAAATTTCTTTTTTCAACAAAAAATAAAAAGTAACAACGTAGATCATACGATATATTTTCCATGATTATTGTAGACATTTAACCAACGTTTTGGTAACTTTTCAAGTCCTCGCTTGTAAAAATCGGGTTGGCGTGAATGAAAGTAGTCCTCCAATTCGTTCTCGAAGTCACCTTGGTTGTTGAATTGCTTGCCTCGAAGGAAATGCTTTAGCGACAAAAATAAGTAGTAATCAGAAGGAGCAATATCCGGGCTATAAGGGGGATGTGAAAGTACATTCCAGTGCAAATCGTTTTCCATAAAATCCTTCGATTTCCTCGACTTGTGGGGATGGGCGTTGTCTTCAAGCACAAAAACGGAACCGTTCCATTCATTCTGATAGACCAATCGGAGAATTTTCTGCTCAACTTGTTGCATATGACGTCTGTAAACATCACTGTGAAAAGTTTAACCCTTCTGGAACAGCTCCCAAAAAAAGTATGCCAGAGCAACACCTATCGACACACAGAAATCGCTTATTCCCATGAGTATTTCGTTTTTCCACCAATTTTCCCAATCGACCTTTCTTCAACCATTGCCGTTTCAACACTCGACAATCATAGAATATCCACGATTGATCATGAGTCACAATATTGAAAAGAGGAAACCGACCGCATCGATATTCGTTCAGTAGTTGACGGCATGACCGCGCTCTTTGGCCCTTAATCGAATTTTTCAAATGATAAGGAATTTGCCGCTGTTTCAACCACTTTCTTCCGGTTTTTTTGAGCCAACGCCATACTGTCATTCTTCAGTAATAGCTTTGTGCCAAAATCCGATTCGTTCCTTCGGGATTTTGCTGAAGTTGGCGCCTCAACGTCTGTCGATTCACTTTTCTGGGACGACCGCTTCCTCGCTTTCGTGTGAGCCGGTTGTCACCTTTTCGGAACTTCTGAAACCACCATCGTGTAGTCCTTTCCTTGACGATTGTTGGCCCATAAAAGAATTGATTTCTCTCGCTGCTTTGGCCGCGGAAATCCTCTTCAAATATCATTGATGGATTATTGATGGATATCTTTACGAGACAGCGCCATGTGATCGATCACAACTTTTTTTGTTTTTGATTCCTAAAAAAGAGAATTTAGCACATAAAACTAGAATTGTAAAGCAGTATAATAAAAAAAAACAGAAAGAGAAAGTGTTAATTTGTCGCTGAATACGAATCAAATGAAAAAAAAAACGCAATTTTTTATGGGACAACCTAATAACATCGAAAAACGGATGAAAATTCAACAAAAAACATCTATTTTTGAGCTTTTGAAAATTTGGGGATAGCACGAAAAAGAATTTTGAAAGGGCATTGAAAAATAGAAGAGCCGGCTCTTCTATTAGAAACTTTACAATAACTTTCTTTTGCTTAAGTCATCAATTGAGTTATACAATTATGATGTAAGCATGCATACGCTCCATTCACCATAAGAATATGTAGATGGCGAATGAAATTCTCCCCCTTCATTCACCATCTATTGGGTTGGGGAGAATGAGTCGGCGCCAAACTTTAAAGGGACTTTTTGCACACATAAAGCCTTCTTTAAACATACGTTTGGTTTCATCAAAAGGATCCACTATTTCTCTACAAAATCACTTTTGAGAGATTCCACAAAGCTTTTCTTTCGTGGAGTTTATGAACTTCCAAAAGCAGCTGGTTAAAATGGCAAAGAGTCCGACTCATCATTTGAACAGTTTCTTCCACATAAACCTCCTTTGGTGTTTATATAAAAAAGATAGAGCACATTCAATTACTTAAGTTGCCAAATTTGCAGGAAGATCCCACCAATGCTTTTTTCTAGATCACAGTTTGTAGTTTTTGTGAAAAAATGGCTTTTTCTTGAGCGGAGGCGCTGTTTGAATTTTCTTTTAAATGTCATTTTGTAGAGAATTAGTTAACCATTCTACTCATATCAAACGCATATTATTTGACGAAGTCGAATAGAAGTTTTAGACATTTTTTTCATTTTCGGCGCCGACTCATTCTCCCCAACCCAATACATAAGAATATCGTATTTTCCCTAATAGTAGTGCACCCTGATCCGTCATCTAATTACTCGAAATCTCAAAAAGCGCTTATCAGAACCAATCGATGTGGGGGCGGAAAATGTAGCTGACGATGAGATCTTGTGGGGGATTTGAGTGTTGAGCTTTTGTGAAAGATTAGAAACCGTAAAATAGTCATCAACTTGGCTCGATGGGGTGCACTACTATTAGAGAAAATACGGTATTCTTATGTAGATGGTAAATAAAAGGGGAGCATTTCTCTTTTTTTTTGAGGGGTTTAACTTATTCAAAATAGTGTAAATCGAAGGGTTGGTGTTGAGAAAAACACGAAAAAAAAAGCCTTAAATTATCAAAAAGGATCGACAGATCTTTTCGTTACAAGTCGGCTCGATTGGTTTGAAACGATGAAAACAGATCCCGTTTCGGTTTAATCGATAGATTTTCAATCGGTTACCATGCTCGCAGATTTAGGTTTATAAATTGGCTGACCTTGGCTTTAAATTGGCTGAATTATCAAGCAGAAAATTTTATTCAAAATAGTGTAAATCGAAGGGTTGGTGTTCCATTGATGCAAGGCTTTTTTTAAAGAAAATTTTTTAACTTACCGAAATCGATTCCAGTTCCTGAAGCAATTCTACAAGCAAAACCCGTACCCAACATCCGAACAAAAGAAGGAAATCTCAAGGGCAACGGATTTGGAGTTGGTACAGGTGGGAGAATTTTGAAAATTCGATGTCACAAAGTTCCGCTCCAATCTAACCTTGTAAAAACTGTAAGAGCTCATAAAAAAAACCAAGAAACCAAAGAACTGTAAGAGATCTTTCCGAGTGAAAACTGAAACTGAAAACGTGAAAAAATGATTCTAAACTCGTTTACAATCTTTTACCAGAAAGAAAAGTGCTTACCATTTTGCAAGCACAAAGTACACAAAAAAACAAGTAGCAAATCGGGAAGTTGATTTTGAAAATTATTGACAGCATATTGACAGCATATTGACGTCAAACCGAGTACCCAAATTAAGAAATTCCTTACACGAGAGATCAAAGATCAAATCATTTGTTTTTATTGGAAATCGAAATCGAAAAGATCGAAAAATTAAAGCCATATTAAAATTGCTAAATCAAAAGGAATACTTTAAAAATTTAATGTTTCAAAGTTACCAAGTCAAATCAAAATCCCATTTTATAATGAGTTTCAGATTCAGCTTTGTGGGATTTAGTTTATTAGTTTCAGCTTTGTAATACCAATTTTGTTAAGAAGCTTTTGTAAATATTAGATCTTAAATACCGTATTAAATCTTTAAATGAAACAAAATATTCCTTTACAGATCTCGAATTGGTTCAAGAATCGCCGCCAGCGCGACAAAACCGGAAAAAACATGGGAGGCTCGGGTTTTCGACTGCTCGAGATGCCTAATCACTTGCAACACTATCAAATGGCTGTATGAGATGAAATAAAAGAAGTTTTTTTGATTGTGAATTATATAGATATATAGCCAAACTATTGTCTCATGCCTAAAGCAAATATTTGCCTAAATTTGCAAGAAAAAAAATTCGCCTGAGAAGAATTGGCCCTTTATAGACGTCTCTGAAAAGTCAGTGTTTCAAAGTTATTTGAGTGGCAAATGGCAAAATGGCAAAATTAATGGCAAAATTTTTAATCATATACGCAACTTTTAAAACTTCTGTAATTTGAGTGTTTTTCAAGACACAAAAATCGATAAATTGAACAAAATCTTGACAAAATTTGTGTTGAGTTACAAGAGTTACGCCTTTTCCAGCGAATTGATAAACAGCCGTGGAAAGGCGGTGTTTCAAATAAAGAATGGGAAGGAAATTGAGACCATGGCGGAATTGAACCATTGACCCCTACAGGCTGTACCCCTACAGGCTGTACCCCTACAGGCTGTACCCCTACAGGCTGTACCCCTACAGGCTGTACCCCTACAGGCTGTACCCCTCAGGCGTACCCCACAGGCTGTACCCCCAGGGTACCCCTACAGGCTGTACCCCTAAGGCTGTACCCCTATAGGCTGTACCCCTACAGGCTGTACCCCTACAGGCTGTACCCCTACAGGCTGTACCCCTACAGGCTGTACCCCTACAGGCTGTACCCCTACAGGCTGTACCCCTACAGGCTGTACCCCTCAGGCTGTACCCCTACAGGCTGTACCCCTACAGGCTGTCCCCTACAGGCTGTACCCCTACAGGCTGTACCCCTACAGGCTGTACCCCTACAGGCTGTCCCCACAGGCTGTACCCCTACAGGCTGTACCCCTCAGGCTGTACCCCTACAGGCTGTACCCCTACAGGCTGTACCCCTACAGGCTGTACCCCTACAGGCTGTACCCCTACAGGCTGTACCCCTACAGGCTGTACCCCCACAGGCTGTACCCCTCAGGCTGTACCCCTACAGGCTGTACCCCTACAGGCTGTACCCCTACAGGCTGTACCCCTACAGGCTGTACCCCTATAGGCTGTACCCCTACAGGCTGTACCCCTACAGGCTGTACCAACAGCTACGGCCTGTATACCTGCAGCCTACACCCAAAACATTTAAAACCCTTTTTAATGTTATTTTGCAGAAAAATGATTGATCTTTTTAATGAAACAGTCGTTTAATTGATGCATTTGTTGATTTTACCGTAAATACTGTAATAGTATCCGACCCCCTCGTACAGTCGCGTAGTCGCAAAAGTTTTTTAGTATTTCATTTTTTTCAAAGCGCCCGTACTTTCAAAAAGTGTGTCTTTGGTATCAAAAAAATAGCTGAAATTCAGGGTTATTTTTTGATACCAAAGCGCGCATTGTAGCATAAACCAGTGTCGAGAAAAACTCGTTCAAAGCTAAACTACGCAACACTCCGCACCGTCATTATGGGGGTGGGGTACTATTACAGTATTTACGGTAAGTATGAAAAGAAAAGAAAAGACTTTCTAAGCAGTTTTTAAACAGTCAATTTCGTTTCACTTAAAAGCGCAAATTTAAGAGTGAAAATCGTGTTTTTCGTAAAAATCTATAAAAGCTAATATTATTTGATTAAACAAAATTGTTTTCAGCTTTATTTCTAAAGGCAATCGATGAAGGAAAGGGAAAAGGGAAATTGAAAAAACAATAGCAAAAAAAAATGACAATTATCACAGCATTTGCGCATGATGATCGAAACCGGCAATGATCAGATTATTGTCATATCCGTCAGTCAACAAATGATTGTTATTGTGATGGGTGTTGTTGTTGTTCATTTTCTTGAATTGACGATGATAGCAGAGGAGGGATTTTTTGGAGAAACGACCTTGGAAAATCGTGAACAACGGGCACACCTGGAAATTCGGAAATGTCTATTCTCTTTCTGCAAGAACAAATGACGATTCTCTTTCTGTAAAGCTTGTAAAGCAAAGACAAAGTTCTAATCTAACTAATCTAAGAGTCATCATTAGAGTCTTATCATCACATTATATCCACAATTTGTCATTCATTTTTCTTTATTGATCATCGAACATTAGATGAGTGATTTCCAAGTTCGTTTCAAAGTCGAACCAAACCGATTGAGTCTTTCTATTGTGTTTTTCTCAACACCAACCCTTCGGTTTACATTACTTTTGGATAAAATTCGATGCAGAATAAAATCGCGCATCAAATGACACAAAACTTAACTCAAAATATAATACCCATGCAAAGTTATGAGGCAAACGGTTAAGTTCAGCCCATAATGGGTGGGGGTTTCGGTTTTTAGCCAATAACTTTGCATGGATATTACATTTTGAGCTAATTTTTGTTTCATTTGATGCGCAAGTTTATTCTGCATTGAATTTTATTCAAAATAGTGTAAATCGAAGGGTTGGTGTTGAGAAAAACACGAAAAAAGCCTTAAATTATCAACGGCAAAAAAAGGATCGACAGATCTTTTCGTTACAAGTCGACTCGATTGGTTCGAAGCGAAGAAAACAGATCCGGTTTCGGTTCAAAAGCGAACCGAACCAATAGATTTTCAAATCGGTTACCATGCTCGCAAATTTCGGTTTATAAATTGGCTGACCTTGGCTTTAAATTGGCTGAATTCAGCCAAGCCAAGCAGAAAATTTTATGTTTCAAGATTTACGGCTTCAAATTTAAACTTTTTTTGTAATTGTGTAAAATAAACATTTAATTGATGTTTATTGGTTAAAGCTTCTCTTTTTTTTTTGTTTTCTTTTGTTTGTTTACATTATTATTATTATGAATATTTTAGACAATTACAAAAAAAGTTGAGATTTGAAACATAAAATTTTCTGCTTGATAATTCAGCCAATTTAAAGCCAAGGTCAGCCAATTTATAAACCTAAATCTGCGAGCATGGTAACCGATTGAAAATCTATCGATTAAACCGAAACGGGATCTGTTTTCATCGTTTCAAACCAATCGAGCCGACTTGTAACGAAAAGATCTGTCGATCCTTTTTGATAATTTAAGGCTTTTTTTTCGTGTTTTTCTCAACACCAACCCTTCGATTTACACTATTTTGAATGAAATTTGCTTCTGCTTGATAATTCAGCCAATTTAAAGCCAAGGTCAGCCAATTTAAAGCCAAGGTCAGCCAATTTATAAACCTAAATCTGCGAGCATGGTAACCGATTCAAAATCTTGTTTACTTTTTTTGGGAGAATTTTTGCTCATACTCACTTTTATCAATTCGTGTCGAATCGATGGCGAACAGAGCATATAGATGAAAATGCGAAGCAACGAGTTTAGAGCCACCAAAATTGAGCACACATCCGAGGTGAGCGTGTAGAAAACGGTACTGAAAAGGTGAAAATTTCGTGGTTTCATGTTGAAAGGTGGAAATATCGAGATTTCATTTTGAAAACGTTTAGAAATTTCGTAGTTTATCTATTCTTTTCTCGATTTGTTATAGGGAAATCATTTCATTTTGTGAAATTGTTTTCATAGCTGAGTACCCTAAAATTCCATATAGATAAGAGCGGTTTAATTTTTGCAAAAATTTTTTAAAATATTTTAATTTATTATAAAACGAAAAAACAACAACAACAACAACAACAAAAGTAACAATAATTTAACGAATATTTTCAATTTCTATCGTTTCTATCGTTCATCATCGTTTATATCCATACAGGAAAAATCGTTTCAAATCAATCGTATGATTTTGTTCTTTTTAAATTTAAATTATTAAATGTGGGGCCCAGAAAGGGAAGGGTCTGTGGTCGACCCCGTCCGATCTGCCAAGTTGAGCAACGTCGGCGCGGGTTAGTCGTGGGTTCGACTCCCATGGGTTCCCCTCCGAGCGCCCCAGCCCGGCCATCGGAGTATCATCGGCTACGACAACTACACTTCTGCCTCAGTAAATGTGGAAGCGGGTTGTGATCTGCGCTAAGTGCGAAGACAGATCAAATCATTATTATAATTATTAAATGTTCTTTTTAGGTACACCAGCAGACGTTTCCGTCAGTCGCCCTATAGGTCTTCCAGGATTCAGTGTTTTTTTCGTCGCACTAAAAATGTATTTTTGATTTTAATAATTATGCATTCAACTTTTTCTTTCAGTTGCATCAAATCCCTAGACACACTCACGTCACCAACATCATGCACATCAACATTTTCAACATCACACAATCACACAGATTTTCAACATCACAAAATGCTTTTTCAAAGCTGTGTATGATAGTGTCAGAAGAGATAGAAAAAAAAAACTTTCGCTGACCAAAAATGCTGCTTCTTGGTAGCTCATTCTTTTTCTGATCCCGCTTTTTGTATAATTTGCATTGGCTTCGTTTGCCATCCATTTTTCTATTTTTTAGCGAAAACCGCTCTTATCTATGGAATTTTAGGGTACTTTGAAAAATTGATTTTTGCCTCTTTTTTTCCTTTGCTTACCTCGATCCATCCTCGTTTTTCATTAACGAGTTATCCTCGAAATAGTTCTCCATGATCTGAATGAAAGAAATCTTTCGGTGGGGACTTTCTTTTGCTGAACTTCAAGCATTTAGAAATATTGTTTATCTCATTGTCCGTCTATGAACGGATTCAGATCATTGTGCATAAAGAAAAGTCTTCAGCAAAAGTTTTCGTTGACAATTTCTTTTCAATCGAATACTTTCCAATCTTTTATCTTATTTTAGAATGCTTTTACTTTTATAAAATAACATATAAAATACTTTAGAGTGATGATAAGGTTAAGATTTTACCGTTTTAAGGCTACTTTCAAAATATTCAATCACTAGGCTTATTAAGGCTTATCACTAGGCTTTTCTATTCAACTATTCAATCAATTCAGCTATTCAAAACTTTTTCGTGCCTCTCAAATCTGAATTTCCTATTGTTTAAGTGAAAGTAAAAGTTTTTCGCATTTCAAATCTTTAGAAATACTCACCGAGATGAACAATGAGAAAGCCGAGCAACAGAGGTACGATGTCACGATCGAAACCATTGTCCACGTTGCGTATTTTAGCTCATCGCGTCGCTTTTTCGCCGAGGAAATCGATTCTAATTCTTTGATTTTTAAAAAAATTCTTTTACAATCTATATTCTTACAATTTTACAATTTAGTCGAAACTTTCAAAATCCTCCGTTGTAAACAGATTAGCCCTTTGTTTATAGACTTTTTCAAATTTAAACCGCGGTCAGGGCCCAGAAGTGGCTCATTCCTTTTGCAAATTCCCTTTGCTTCCAATGCCTCTTTATCAAATTCATTTCCCGTTAGAGCCGCTAGATTATGGAACTTGCTCCCAAACGACATACGAGAAATTCAGTCGCTTTTCATATTCAAGAAACGTATCGATGCTTTAGATCTAGTGGCTCTTTGCCGTAAGTAATTGGCTTATTGATTTCAGTATGTATTGTATGATTAAGTAAAAATAAAAATAATGATTTGATCTGTCTTCGCACTTAGCGCAGATCACAACCCGCTTCCACATTTACTGAGGCAGAAGTGTAGTTGTCGTAGCCGATGATACTCCGATGGCCGGGCTGGGGCGCTCGGAGGGGAACCCATGGGAGTCGAACCCACGACTAACCCGCGCCGACGTTGCTCAACTTGGCAGATCGGACGGGGTCGACCCAGACCCTTCCCCTTTCTGGGCCCCTGTATGATTAAGTATCACTGTGCATTTCTCTATGATTTCTTTCACTTTATCGTTTGAATAAAGTATTATTATTTATTATTAATCTAGATTCTAATCAGAATAAACCGGGTATTTCAAAAATTCGAGCAAATGAAATTTGTATGTTTCAAAGTGAAGGGAATTATTTCGCGAAATTCTTGAGTAATACGCGATTTTTTTCTCTTTGTATTTCTATTAATTTTTTAAAGTTTTCACTTAATTTTATTAAAAATTAAAAATTCTATACAATTAATTGTTCTTCTTTGATTTTCTTTCAAACCTTTTCTTATCAATTCGCTAATCTTTGGCATATCGATGAAAGTGGTGGCCGCCCAGTGGATATGTCGGAGCTTTCTGCAAAAGTTTTCAATTCAATTTCAATTTTAAAGCTAACAAAGATTGAATTTTGACGTTTTTGAGTAGGGAGACAAGTTTTATGTAAATTTACGATGTTCAATGTCTTTTTTACTGTCAATCTAATACTTTACTCGAGTTTCTAAGCTTGATTTTAAAGTACAAGTTTCAAAGTATCTAGCTTTAGAGAAATTTTAGCCTACTTAGTTTCCCTATTTTTTTAAATAAGGAGGAAGAATTTTAGGTAATCGTCGAGTTTGGCATTAAGTAAGACATAAGTCTCCATGCATCCGGCAATGGAGAACCTGTTGGTGTAGCTCATTGGTAGAGTGTTCGCCTAATAACCCGGGAGGGTGCGGGTTCGAGCCCCGCCGCCGTTCAATTTTGTTTTTGAAATTGTTGAGTAATAAGGGGTAAGAGCCCATCCTGACGGCAATCAAAAACCTATCGCTGTGGCTCATTGGTAGAGTGTTCGCCTGGTAACCCTGAATTCGCGGGTTCGAGCCCCGCCACCGCTAAATTCTCTTTTTTGAAATTGTTGAGTAATCCTTTTTGGCTTCCCAGTTCCAACCAAAAGAACAAAGGCTTAATCCCCTCTCTACAAATCTTCCTTTACCATTTCTTACTTTACTTTATTAATCGAAAGTTCAACCTCTTTGTCACAGCCACAATCGAGACATTCAGCAACAAAAGCAGAGCAAACGGGACGAATATCTGTAGGACAGTCATCACGTAGAAATTGTAGATATTATACTGTTCCCAGCCTTGCAACAGCGCCACGAATTCATAGTTCTGTAAAAGAGCAAGTTTTTGTGTAAAAGCAAGGTTTCAATTTGCTCAACTTTTTCAGAGAAACTTAATATTTATCAATTTAGACGTTAATAAGCAAAAATGTGTGAAGGCAATGTTTCAAAAGTTCCTTATAAAAGTTTTTTTGATATTTCGAATTGAATCCCACCTGAAAAGCCGGACAATCAGGCAAATATTTGATTCGGTACTCGAAAAAAGCTGGCATTCGGAGGATGAATACGCCGAAAAGAACGACGCCGATCGTGCAGTAACGACCGAATTCGCTAAAAAAAATTGAGGAAATGTAAATGGATAACTAAATATCTTTATGAAGAGCAAACGATTTAACGATTTAACGCATTGTAAAGGTCGTTTGTCTCACCGGGAGCGAACATTAGTAAACTGACTGACTGACTGACTGACTGACTGACTGATCAGTGACTCAAGAATCAAGCCAGGAATCAAAGAGTCAGTCACTTTTAGATTTGTAGCTTAATTCTTGAGTTTGTGCTTTTGAAACTTTTGAATGTGATTAAAACTACCATAAATACTGTAATAGTACCCCACCCCCATAATGACGGTGCGGAGTGTTGTGTAGTCTAGCTTTGAACTAGTTTTTCTCGACACTGGTTTATGCTACAATGCGCGCTTTTGGTATCAAAAAATAGCCCTGAATTTCAGCTATTTTTTGATACCAAAGACATTTTTTTGAAAGTACGGGCGCTTTGAAAAAAAATGAAATACTAAAAAGCTTTTACTGTACGACTGTACGAGGGGGCTGCGGTACTATTACAGTATTTACGGTAAGTTCTTTTTGATTTAAATCTATTAGTAAATCTCTTACTTAACGAGGAAATCCAACGAGTGAATCCCGGCGACGACAATGAAACGCTCGATCGTCGCGCACAGAACGACATACGTGGCCGCGAATTGCACTAGAAATTTTGAAATAACTAGTCTCTAGGCAAGGTTTTTTTTTGTTTTATTAACATTTTTGGTTCCTGCCTGAAATCCGGGCATTTTGTTGATTAAGCCTTGATATATTTATTAATATTTTACATTGTGAAAAAAAGATTCAGTTAAAATAGTCGAAATTCTTGCTCTTCTTGGTTTTCTTGGCTTTTGAAGAACATCTTTTCAAAAAAAGAATCACTTTATTTCATTTGTTGATAAATTTATACTATATAGAAAATAAATAAACATGAAAATGCGCAGATTTCAGCTAAAAGAGCTCATTTTTTTCAGTTAATAGAGTAGTTTTATTTCTTTTAAAACTTAACTTTTTCATTTAACTTGAACAAAAAGTGTTTGTGTGAAAGATTTGAAGTTTTAACTGACTTCACGATTAATTTCATATCCAATTTTCCTTTAAATATTATCATATTTCAATGTAAATACTTTCCTCTAATATTTTCTTTAATATTAGTGCACCCTGAGCGTCGCCTAAATTCCTCGAAATCTCGAGAACCGCTTATCAGAACCTAACGATGTGGGGTCGAAAAATGTAGCTGATGATGAGATCTAGTAGGGGATTTGAGTGTTGAGCTTCTGTGAAAGATTTTAAACTGTAAAATAGTCACCAACTCGGCTCACCCGGGTGCACTACTATTAGAGAAAATACGGTAAACCTAGTAAGATTCTTTGCAACAAATCAAAAGATAAAGAAAAAAATTTGATTAAAATTCTGCTCGAGGGGAAGATTACAATTACTTTATGTTTTTAATTCCAAAAATGCAAACATTTTTTCCTCAAAACTCACCCATTCTCGCCGTTCCATACAGCAGCATTGCGTATTGATGCCAGAGCTCGTGCAAGAACTCGTTCTCCCCGTAAATCGCCAATGCGTCAACTAGAAATGAATTTTGGTTAAAGATTCATTTGGTTCATTTTCTTCGTTTATTTTCTTCAATTTTCTTCAATTTTCTTGAACTAATGCTTAATTTTTAAAAACAGCAAATTTTAAGGATTTCAATGGGTTTCAATGTGCTTAATTTGCCAAGTTTTACAAAAAAAAAGCAATCGTAAAGAATTTAAAGTTTTTAAAAAGTTACAACTTATACAAACCTCCACTTATACGAATCTTATTATCTATTTCAATATCAAGATCTATTTCTTATTTCTTTCATTTTATTACAATTCAATTCACCTGTGAAAAAAGGAATGTAGAGAAGGTCGATGAGAAAATCGAGAATTGCCAATGTTAACAAATACAAAGTGGGTGATCGTCTTGAGCGAGTTTTCGAGAAAAGACGCTGAACATTTCAAATATTTTCAACATTTTCAACATATTACCAAAAGGTTAACAAGAAAAAAGGTATAAATAGGTATAAATACTTTCATTACTTTTATATATTATAAATAACTATTTAGCCTTATTCAAACATTTTTAACATTAAAAAAGACTTCGAAGAAGGAGAAATTTGATAAAATTTCGTGAAGTTCACAGCCAAACTTAGCCAACAATATACCTTAAAAGTCACCAATTGTACTGACTTCTCTATCTCCTTTTTAAAAGCTTCTTAAGTCGAGTGAGTGTCGAGTAATGAAGTCTGACAGGGTGACAAAAGTTTATCTTCTTCCCAGTTACCCTGGAAAGTTACCAGTCCTCTTCTTCCCAGTTACCAGTCCTCTTCTTCCCAGTTACCCTGGAAAGTTACCAGTCCTCTTCTTCCCAGTTACCCTGGAAAGTTACCAGTCCTCTTCTTCCCAGTTACCAGTCCTCTTCTTCCCAGTTACCCTGGAAAGTTACCAGTCCTCTTCTTCCCAGTTACCAGTCCTCTTCTTCCCAGTTACCAGTCCTCTTCTTCCCAGTTACCAGTCCTCTTCTTCCCAGTTACCCTGGAAAGTTACCAGTCCTCTTCTTCCCAGTTACCCTGGAAAGTTACCAGTCCTCTTCTTCCCAGTTACCCTGGAAAGTTACCAGTCCTCTTCTTCCCAGTTACCCTGGAAAGTTACCAGTCCTCTTCTTCCCAGTTACCAGTCCTCTTCTTCCCAGTTACCCTGGAAAGTTACCAGTCCTCTTCTTCCCAGTTACCCTGGAAAGTTACCAGTCCTCTTCTTCCCAGTTCCAGTCCTCTTCTTCCCAGTTACCCTGGAAAGTTACCAGTCCTCTTCTTCCCAGTTACCCTGGAAAGTTACCAGTCCTCTTCTTCCCAGTTACCCTGGAAAGTTACCAGTCCTCTTCTTCCCAGTTACCAGTCCTCTTCTTCCCAGTTACCCTGGAAAGTTACCAGTCCTCTTCTTCCCAGTTACCCTGGAAAGTTACCAGTCCTCTTCTTCCCAGTTACCAGTCCTCTTCTTCCCAGTTACCCTGGAAAGTTACCAGTCCTCTTCTTCCCAGTTACCCTGGAAAGTTACCAGTCCTCTTCTTCCCAGTTACCAGTCCTCTTCTTCCCAGTTACCCTGGAAAGTTACCAGTCCCTCTTCTTCCCAGTTACCAGTCCTCTTCTTCCCAGTTACCCTGGAAAGTTACCAGTCCTCTTCTTCCCAGTTACCAGTCCTCTTCTTCCCAGTTACCCTGGAAAGTTACCAGTCCTCTTCTTCCCAGTTACCCTGGAAAGTTACCAGTCCTCTTCTTCCCAGTTACCAGTCCTCTTCTTCCCAGTTACCCTGGAAAGTTACCAGTCCTCTTCTTCCCAGTTACCAGTCCTCTTCTTCCCAGTTACCAGTCCTCTTCTTCCCAGTTACCAGTCCTCTTCTTCCCAGTTACCAGTCCTCTTCTCCCAGTTACCAGTCCTCTTCTTCCCAGTTACCAGTCCTCTTCTTCCCAGTTACCAGTCCTCTTCTTCCCAGTTACCAGTCCTCTTCTTCCCAGTTACCAGTCCTCTTCTTCCCAGTTACCAGTCCTCTTCTTCCCAGTTACCAGTCCTCTTCTTCCCAGTTACCAGTCCTCTTCTTCCCAGTTACCAGTCCCAGACAATCTTTTCAGTTATCCTAATTTTTAGATTTGCTTTCAATTTAATTTTCATACAAATTTCTTCAACTTACAAGTAAAATAAAATTGCAAAAGATTCCCAAAAAGGCGATCGGAGTGCCGACATAGACGATGAGGGCAAATCTGGAAAAAAAATTATCGTTTTTGTGTTCAGAGGCACTTCACCAGAATTGCTCTTTATAAAATTAATTTTCACAAATTCTCCTCCTTTACTTATTCTGATAGATTGCAACTCTTTGGTCTTGAAATGTTACACCAACGCCGCCTTATCATCGATTTAGTGGAATGCTTTAAAATTGTTAAAGGCATTCATCCCGACCCCCTTTTTCTGGTCTCTTTGAATTCGGCTCTCTACGGGGGCCTTTTCCAGGGCCTCCAGAGCCTCCAGGGCCTCCAGGGCCTTCAGAAGAGGACCTTTTCTCATACGCCAACCTTCCGTTTCCTCTAAAAGCCCCCAGGAGTTTCTTTTTAATCGAGTTATTAAATTCTGGAACATTTTACCCCCTGATGTTCGTGATATTTCCACCTTGGCTAGATTTAAAGCCGCAATTTCGGCAATTGATTTGACTGCTCTGTGATTCTTTCTTGAGGTATCTATTTATCTTTTGGGTGTGTTTTGAGTGGTGTCCCGGGTATTTATTGTGATTTTGTTTTGTCGCTATTCAACTGAATAAAGCATATATATATATTTTTTCAAATTTGATGAACAGGAAATCAATTCTGTCAATCAAATCAATCAAAATGAAATCTTTTGGATTGACGATAGATTCATTTTCTTTTTTGAAATAAATTCTGAAAAGAAAAGAAAAGAAAAGAAACCTCACGAAATCATAGCCAACATTCTTCGTCTCGCATCCCATTTCTTCTTCGAGTCGCGTTATTTCAGACATCTTTTCCTCTTTTTTAAGATTTCCCTAGAAAAAGACTATTCAGAATTTTAAAAACAAGCCAAAAAAAAACAAAATAAGAATCTAGAAATAAAACCCAGCCAAACTTAGCCAACAATAAACTTTAAAAGCCATAAATTTTACTCACTTATCTATCTTCTTTTTAAAAGCTTTTAAAAGCTTTTTAACTCGAGTGAATTCTAAAAAAAAACTGTATTACTATCACGAGTTTTCATTTGATTAGCTCAATTTTCGTTGAGTTTTATAAATCCCTTATTGAATGTGGTCAAAATTAGGGGTAGGCTAATTTCCGCCATTTTATTTGCGCAAAAGGGTCATTTGCGCAACTGGGTCTTTTGCGCAACTCGCCATAACTTTGTTCTAAGTGGGCCAATCTTTATAATTTTGGTTTCATTTTGTACTTCTCAATAAGTGTAACAAAATGACACCAAAATCATAAAGATTGACCGACTTAGAAGAAAGTTATGGCGAGTTGCGCAAAAGACCCAGTCGCGCAAATGACGCAAATGCGAAAATTTGGACCTAAATCTAAATGCAAAAAAAACTAAATCTGCGAGCATGGCAACCGATTGAAAATCTATCGATTCGGTTCGCTTTTGAACCGAAACGGGATCTGTTTTCATCGTTTCAAACCAATCGAGTAAACTAAAACGCAAAAATTTGGCGCAAAGTAGCCTATCCCCAAAATTAAGCTGATTAAATGAAAACTAATTGAGATTACGATAGTTAGCTGAAGAAGAATATAGAAATATTTTCAAGAGCAAGTTTACGATAGTTTCTTTTTAAAAATAAAATTTGATAGAATTTTAGAAAGAAAAAGAGGTTATTGCTCTTAAAAGACACATTGCAATGTGTCTTTTTTCAAATCTTTTAAAAGTCTGTGTTTCAATGCATTGAAACACAGACTTTTAAAATAAAGACACAGACTTTTAAAAGATAAAAGATGGGAAAAGATTACGAATCATCTATATTTGTGAATAAACGGATCAACGAGAAACATATTGGTTCATTCAACTACACAGATTTTCAGATTTGCAGATTTCCCCCTTTTGTGTGTGGGGGAAAAAAATCGTTTTATGAAAAGGAAAACTCAAGAAAAATCATGGTTTATGCGTCACTTTTGTAACAAAAAAAAAAACGATAGGATTTGTGGACCCGTTCGGATAAAGAGTTTTTGAAAGAGATTTGGGGATTTTCATTCGAAATTTGTTGATGGAACATTTGGATGCAATCATTTTGGTGATCATTTTCAATTAGATTGATTGAGAGGAAGAGATTCAAATGAAAAATTCTCCAAAATTAGCTGAAAACTTTGAAAAATGGATATGAAAATGTATCTAAAGTAATTTTTTTAAAAATTTAAATTCAAAAAAACGGATTTATGAAAATTTGCAAAGAAAATAAGAAAATATCAAATAAAATGATATAAATAAATAAAATAAAGAAAAATAAAATGAAATGGCAAATGAAATGGTAAATGAAATGGTAAATGAAATGGTAAATGAAATGGCAAATGAAATCGTCTCCAAAAAGGAGGTAGGCTAACTTCCGCCAATTTTTTTGGTGCAACTGGGTCTTTTGCGCAAATCGCCATAACTTTCTTCTAAGTCGGTCAATTTTTATGATTTTGGTGTTATTTTATAGATCTCAATAAGTGCAACAAAATGAAACCAAAATTATAAAGATGGGTCAACTTAGAACAAAGTTATGGCGAGTCGCGCAAAAGACCCAGTTGCGCAAATAAAATGGCGGAAATTAGCCTACTCCCCAAAAAGGTCTCAAAAATGACTCCAATCTTTGCTTTGATCAATCATACAGCTCATTAACTGAATATCTTATTTCTTACATGAAAAACTTGCAAGATAAATAGAAAAATTCATATATGCAAATTGGTGAGATCAAAGTGATCTTTGAAAGTTAAAGCTTTCCTTTTTCTTTTCCTTTTCTTTCCTTCTCCTTTTCCTTTTCTTTCCTTTTCTTTTCTTTTCTTTTCTTTTCTTTTCGAATCAACGATCGTTTTGGCTAATTAGATGAAATTTGAGTTTACTCTTTCTTTTCTGGATGAAATAACGATGAGATCATTTTACTCACTCGAACTTCTTGACATCAAAAAACATCAGAAATCAAAACAGGGGTAGTTGTTCGATGGGAGAAAAACAAAAAGGGGCTAAATGTGTGTGCCCTCAACATAAAGATCCCCTTTCTGGTAGTTTATCGGACATTTGAAACGCGCCCCACCCATTTTCCCACTGGAAACCAAACTTTAAGCTCAAATATCTTGGTACCAATCGACAGAGAAAGACTTGGCGAATCTAATAATATCAAGACTTTATTAAATTGAACAACCTAACACCAAGAAATTTGAGCTCAAAGTTGGATTGCCAATGGCAAAAGGGGCGGGGCGACGAACCTTTTATACGCGGCCCACCCTCTTTGCCATTGACAATCCAACTTTGAGCTCAAATATCTTTGTGCTGGGGTGTTCAATTTAAATAGTTTTGCACCAATCGACAGAGAAAGACTTGGAAAATCTAATAATATCAATAATTTATAAATTGAACAACCCAACATCAAGAAATTTGAGCTCAAAGTTGGATTGCCAATGGCAAAGAGGGGGCCGTAAGGCGCCCTCTTTTATTGGCCTTGAGCCCTTGGTGTGGTCATTTTAAGTCTGATATTGCGCCAGTCTTTCTCTGTCGATTGCTGCAAAAACTATTTAAATTGAACACCCCAGCACAAGGATATTTGAGCTCAAAGTTGGATTGTCAATGGCAAAAGGCGCGGGTCGTGTATCAAATGTTTGACAATCTTTCTGGAGCACAGATTCCCCTTTTGTTGGTAACTATTTGATGTTGAAAAATAAAGGAATTCGATACACCATAAATGGTATGTTTACTTAAGCACAAAGTACGAGTTTCATCAAATGAATGAGCTGATTAGATTCGATTTAAAAGGCAAATTCTCTTTGAAACTCTTCTATTGGGTTGGTGGAAAAGTCCTTTCGGATTTTTTGGGAGAGTAGTGCTTAAAAGAATGAGCAGATGAATGTTTTGTCAAAAATTCTTTCATTTTCAGTTTTCTCTTTTGCGATCGTTCTCGCGGTCCTTCTTGAATCGTCAAGGATGTCAAGGATGAAAATCGGTGGGAATTGTGCAGGATATGTGAATGGTAAAGGGAATTTGAATTTGAATTTGTATCAATGTAATATTGTCAGGTGAACGAGCTTGTTATCGAGGAGTTTGTGTGAATGCACGATGTGTGGCTGAGGTGAGTGTAAAGGGGGTTAAATGGGTGACGAGACTTTAGCAGATTACCCCAGTAGTAAATTTGTCTAATTTTGACGTTTTATTGGATTAAAATTGAACAAATTTAAGGTACTCTCCCCAAAAAATCCGAGAGGACTTTTCCACGAACCCAATAAATTGCTCCAACCCATCAATGAACACCCCAATATATTGCTCCAACCCATCAATGAACACCACCACCAACCCATCAATGAACACCACCACCAACCCATCAATGAACAATCGAAAATTCAGGTTAAATTTTCAATTTAACAAATAAAATAAACAATTTGATAAATGGATAAATAACGAAAATGGATAAATAACGAAAAAAATAAAGTTTCAAAAAATTACCGCCTCTAAATTTGATTTAAAGTTTAATTTCTCTATTTTTCTCTGAAACTCAACTATTTTAGAGCCCCAATTTCATTAGCTATTCGGTGGATTTGATGAGAAAAGAGTCGAGAATCGAGAAAATGGCGATCATGTTTACCCTGTTTAAATAGCACAAAGATTTCATCTCTTATTATTTCAATTTCAATTTCAATCTCAATTTCAATCTCAATTTCAATTTGTAATTCTTTATTTTTTTTCTCCAATCAAGAATTCAATTCTCTCTGCAATTTCTCATCAAAACAATGAGTGAATTGAAAAGATTCTTGCACAAATATCATTCTTTTGATTCGCTCAATAGTCGTCATTCGGCAAAATGAGCTATTTTCTTGAAATTTCATCAAAAATGATCCATTTTATCAGCTAAATCCAGAAAAATAACGTTTTTTTTAGTGATTTTCAGTTATTTGAAACATTCTTTTTTTACGGCAAAATCATTGAAATAGCAGAGTTCAAATGATGGTGTTTCAAAATTTATGAGTCTAAGAAAGTAATGAAAATTTCAGTCTTTCAATTTTTTTACGATAAACTAAGTCCAGAGATTTTTAGAAGTCGAAAGTTTCCGAGAAATCTGAATGATTTAAAAATTCAATCACGGAACTTGTAAAAGAATGAATGAAAGAATGAATGAATGAATCGGAAAATGAATGAGATTCTAATTTCAAATGAAATCTAAACATATCAATTCGAGAATGGGGGGTTTTAAATTAAAGTTGATAGGAGAAAATGAGCAATTAATCTCATTTGATTGTAGTTTTTTTTTAGCTGAATATTTTCTGCTTTGAATGTGTCACTTAAAAACTACAAAATAACCCTTTAGCTTGGGATTAGAGTGTGCTCCTTGTTGACAGACAATTTGTCAGACAAATTTTCATTGACAACTTTTATTGTCAGACAATTGATCCGACAAGACTTCCGAGAACGCGTTTTCTATTGGGTTGATGCATAATTATCCGGACTTCTTTTTGCGTGCTTGTATCTTTTTTGTTTTGAAAGCTTTTTGTCTATTTCTTTTTTTTAAATATTCGTTATTCTTTAGTGAACAAAATGCGTGTCGACAATCATATCCATCTTCGCCATATCATGCTCTACCACTTCGAAAAGGGATGGTCTGCCGCAGAGTCGTTTCGCGATCTCAAAGAACTTTTTGGTCAAGGAACAATTGGACGTGCAACAGTTTATGAATGGTTCGATCGTTTCAAGTCCGTTTCAAGTCCAATTGTTCCTTGACCAAAAAGTTCTTTGAGATCGCGAAACGACTCTGCGGCAGACCATCCCTTTTCGAAGTGGTAGAGCATGATATGG